GTTTTTAGGATCTATTGTTTTTAGGATCTATTGTTTTTAGGATCTATTGTAATAGCTCGATTTAAGAAGAAAAAATATTCTGAACTTCTCATTGATTATTCATTTTAAGAGTACTCCACGTCAAATCAAATCAAATCAAATAAGACCAAGAAGAAATCTGTTCAGGTGATCCATCGAAAACAAGGCGACCAAAGTAAGAAAAAATTACAACAATCCTTTGCGCGCGTTCCCCGAGATCACCTGGTTAAAGGTATAGAAAACCGTACGAAAACAATGTCTATCCAATCATACCTGCTTTGTCTTTCTGAACAGCTCGGTCTTCAAGATACTCAAAAATGGAATGGAAAGAACCAGAATCCGAGGATACTCGAAGCGTCTCTAATCTGTATACAGACAGTAAGTAGGTACACTGGCCAAAGTTAAGCTTGCTGACCAACGCGGCGATTTCTGGTGAATTCCCGATGGTCTCCAGGACTTTAGTGCGGACTTCGTTCAATTCAGCCTTAAAAATAAAGCGATACCCTTAGATTCAGGAAGAAAAGATCACAGCCTGACACCTGCAGGTATGGTTAGCACGCTGATATGTAAGATTCTAACTCCCCTGTGATCTCTTTAGCTTTTTTCGATAAGCAGGTAATTTGTCAGATCAGAGGTATGTTGACCTGTTAAAACCCAAGGGTGGTCAAACAAAAAAAAAAAAATTCAGATGTTATTATCTTGTGTTGTTATCAAATTTGCTCGGTCAAATGTCCGGCAAACGAAAATCATTTACCAGTCAAGTTGTCATTTTTACCGGACATTTCTCCGATGACCTGTAGACACTTAATTGTTTGAAGCCTTGGTAAAATCTATCAGTATGTGATATCATAGCTGCCATGTTGGATGACATAGTAAAAGAACATCCAACATAGCTTGCGTATCGGCGCTTTGGGGACGAGGAAGCTGGTTGAGGAGGAAGGAGAGTGGGACTGGCTCACCTTCCCCTCCCCTCCCCCTCCCGAACGCTGTTATGGATCTACTTGTCTCTTACCGGTGCAACAGCATCGTTCCTCAAAGCAGAGTTGTACATTAATCGTGACCTCAAGTGCTCAGCTCCAAGAAGAAGAGGTGACTTGGCAGCAATGGTACACACCCCTACATACCATTCATTAGGCCACAAGGTTGAACCCTCAACACCAAACCCCATCACCACACAATACAACCAGAAGTCCCAGAACAATTTCTGCAGACGTGGTTTAGGGTCTGTGATTGGTTGAAGTCGAGCAACTACAGTTGCGATGACAGGAATCAAGACGCCTAGGTTACCAGCACTTGACGAGGCCTTGATAGCAAATGGGCTCTTTTCGCTTGCTCTCTTGCTTTCCAAACCAAGCTGTACAAACAACTCGAGTACTCTTACTAAGAAGTCCTGTAACATGACCTCACCCTTGAGGTTCGATGCCAGGTTAGTATAGGCATTGAGTACAGCAAGAGCACAGTGTCGATATCCCTGTGTTGTTTCTCTTACAGCTGTTGGTTCTCTAGAATATGCCATTGAACCAGCATCAATAGTGATCTTCATAAACATACCCATAATCTGCTGGTACATTTGATCCGATCCCGTCAGAACTAGATTACCCAGTTGTTCAACAATCAGGGGATCTAACGATGAAGGGGGATGGCAAAACCTGTGCTGAAGAATTGTCAAAACTGACTCCGTGGACTCAGGAACAGTGTGCAACTTAAAAGCCACATGACCGAGAGTAATGATCGCATTGGTTGAAATGAGGTTAGCTGTATCATAGTCTACATTCTCTAAAGTGTATAACTTATTTGATAATGAAGTTAAGAAAGCTTGAACACAGTTTTCATCCACTGCTTGACCTGCCTTTAGAGCCCTGCAGATGCTTTCAAGTGCAGTTTTCTTAAGCAAATGAGCAAGCGAGTCTTTGTCCATACTCTTATCATCACTCACACCCACAGTCATTGCAGGGGTGTTGTCTTCAGCATCTGTCACTGACATGACGATTGTTGTTGTAACTTTCTTTGTTGACTGGTCCTTCCTGGCCAGCACAGGGGCTGGTGTCAGAAGGAAATCACGAAAACAAGCCAGAACAGTGTTTGCCATGTGGGGGAACTTTTCAGCAAGGGTAGCCAGCCCTTCTAAGCAACATGTAAACAAACATATGTCAGTTTGCACCAGCGATGCAGCTAAGTTGGAGCACAGAAATTCTGAAATATTCTGACAGAAAGTATCTGCATCTTGGTCTTCCTGTGCTGTCCAAACAGTCAGGTCAACACTTGCAGAAACAGTCTGTAGCTTCCATTTGAGATTGGTAATGCTGTGGTCACTTCTTTTGAGAACTTCTGACTTCTCTGCTAGAAAGATCTTTCTTCCTATTTCTTGTGCTTTGCTGGAAAGCTTTGGTGGCATGCCTATTATGGATAAAATTAAGTTATATTATTATTATTAATAATAATCAATGAAAATAACAATTTGTTGGAGAATGATGTTTTTCAATTCAGACATGGAAACAGTAACCAGCCTTATTGAAGAATGCTGACAGCAGTACAATAGCTGCATGTATAAAGCCATTTGTTATTAGAATATATCCAACTAGCTTATGATATTGGACCCTTCTTAAAAGCATTGTGGATGCAAGGACAACATGGAAATGCAAAAGAAATCACACTTTTTCTTCCTAGAATTTGTGGCTTTTCTTTTGTATTTCCATGTTAGGCTTATATCCAGGATACTTTTAAGAAGGGTGCAGTAGTTGGGTCATGTTAATTATGAAATACCTGGAGTTGTCCGGTAGACATCTCTCAGTAGTCCCATCATGGACATTGTGATTACTTCTTTAAAAGACTTGTAGGCAAAACTTTCCTGAAGGGCACCAGTCTGTGCAGCAAAATGTATACATAATTAGAATAACATTAGCATACTTAAGTCTATAATAGGCCTTGAGTTCGATAAACAGTATGCATTGTGGTCTAGATTCAGTACAAACAACACCATATAAGGCATGATGTTTGTACTGAAGCTACACCACAATGCACCATGTTTGCTATCTAAGAAAAGGTTGATGGCTGAGGTCAAATGTTGAACTTCACTTGAGCTGAACCTAATMATGATTGAAACAATGGATAACAAGGTGGTTTTAATTAATTGATGTCATTAGGTTCAGCTCATGTGAAGTTCAACGTTTGACCTTAGTCTAACCAGTACTTTTTTAGTTCTTTTTTTCCTTTTCTACTTACCTCAAGGCATTCTGACAAAATACCATCTATTGCAGCAAGTATTTGAGAATCCAGCATCTTCTCTGCCTGAGAACAAGTTCAGAACATAATTATTATTRCTATTTATTTATGAGACAGTACAACAGAAAAAAAATACAAGCTTACAAGATTTTAATTACAGGAGTTTAGAAATGCTACAAGCAAAAAAAAAATTTTTTTTTGAAATATGTTGATAAATAATAATGATGGTAACAATATTACCTGGCTCACAAGACTTGAGAGTTCTACATTTGAGAAGCATAGGCCTTGCCCTTTGTTTGGTTCAGAGGATGTCTGCAGGTAAAGATGACTATTCTGTCTTGAGAAGCTGTTCAGACACCCTTTAGTTGTGCTAAATCCACTTGTGGAGATTAGCTCAAAAATTAATGGCTCTGATCCTACATAAACTTTTGAAACTCCTAATGCTTGGGCTACTCCAAGCAGTAATGGAATGGTGTACTGGCAGAGATTGGCTGTTAAAGAAATCATTGACAAATGAAATGGGAAATTAGAGGAAATAGGTAAAAACATTAATTTGTAACTAATTACATTAATTTGTAACTAATTACATTAATGTGTAACTAATTACATTAATGTGTAATTAATTGCATTAATTTGTAATTAATTGCATTAATTTGTAATTAATTGCATTAATTTGTAATTAATTAATTTATAGTACACTCAACAAAATTACTTGACTCTGATTGGTCAAGAGGAGTACAATTATAGCGTTAATTGTACTCCGTAGGAGTACTTAATTAAGTCGCTATGGCAACACGGCCAAAACAATGTCAAAACAATTATTTTCCATCATTTTGTACTTAAAAAACATATAAATAAAATTTTAAAGCCGTAAGAACTAATCTTTTTTATGCATTTCAGTTGCGCGATGGACTAAAAATCGGCCGCCAAATGGACAAAGATGAATGGCGTAGCTTCGCATTTTTTACTGAAATTTTGTTGAGTGAACTATATACAAAAAATCGCACAATCTTCTCGTACAATTTGGAATTAATAGACACTCGTAATGTTTTGAAAGTTCTTTAATTGCACTCGCCTAAAGGCTCGGCAATTACAAGAACTTTCAAAACATTACTCGTGTCTATTAATTTCCAAATTGTACTCGAGATCGTGCGATTTCCTATACTAATTAATTAATTAGTAGATCAATCAATCAATTAATTAATTATATATTAATTAAAAATATTAATTAAAAAAATTGTCTAAAAGAGTCAGATAGCAAAAGAAGATTGATAGATAACGATGGTGGAGCAAAAAGGATTTATGGGGCCACATAAATCTACATGAAATATGAGTAATACTGAGACCTGTAAGCCTGTAGACCTGTACGATGAATCTATTGACTACAAGCAATGCTGCATGGACATCTCAACACTAACCACTGCATTTTTGAGAAAAATATTAATTTTCAAGAATCTATTTTGTACTCATTCCAGCTATTCCTGTATCTCAGTAGAAYGACCTATTTAATATTGCTTACGCCTTTCACTTGTTGTTATTGCTTGGTATTTAAAATCATTCAAAAATACATGTAAGCTATGGAACTCCACACAGATCACTCAGATGTCCTCAAATACACTACTTTTGATATAAATCTAGTCTGATACATGGCTATATACACCAAAACCAAACTAAATCAAGACTCAGGGGAAAATGCAGTAATCATTAGGGCTTTCACAACAATCTGGTGGCAGCTAGCCAGAGCTCCAGCAGTTGCTTCAAAGTTAACCACCGGCTACTTTTTCTTTTCTATAAGATACTTTCTGTATGTATTGGATCACAGTCAGCTACTTCAGACTTATGACCATCTAGGCTACTTAAAAACATTCTGAAATATAGCCCTGAATCAAGTAATTATTCTTTTGCTTCCCAACCTCACTCCTGTATGCTTTATTTGTTAGTGATTATTCAACAAAAATATCAAGAGTGGGCTAGTGACTATTATAATTTTTACCTAGATTAAACTACAGTGCAACTATGTACTATAACCGGGGTCACTTAGACAGCTAGAACCAATCAAAATGTAGAATAGAAATGATACATTCTGACTTTGGGTAGTGGAGCCAATCAGAAATCAGCAGAAAACAATATAGGCTTTCAATATTATAYCTTTTTATTCTCACGAGAAAATAAYGATGGCTGGCTAGTTGTTTACAGGAACACCAGGGTCAAATTACAATTCTCATGCAGTCTAGGTTTCTAATTGGCTCTACTATCCCAAGTTGGAATATATTGTTTTCATTAGACATTTTACATGACAATTGTTTCTCTTGTCTAACTGTCTTTAGAAGTGGTCCTGGTTACAGTAGTTGCACTGTAAGAGAAGGTGGATGAATAAATGATCTACTAAAAGTAAGACTAAGGTATTAAATCATCAGGGATGTTACCTTTTGATTCCAGGGTTTTCAAGTCTTTGTGTGAACAACACCTTGTAACCAATGCTCCAAATACATCAATCACATATGTATTTATCTTAGAGGCCAACTGGTTGTCTTTCTCAGCCAAGCTACTCATCAGGCTTATAWAACACAAAGCAAACTCCCCTGCCATTGATGACTTGGTACACAGAACATTCATTCTGGGTTCTATCCATTTAGTATGAGGAAGTCCTCTAAGCACATCTAACAGGTATGGCATTATTTTGGCCTTGTACTGTAGATTTGACAGAAGCTCATATGAACCAAGGGCCAGAATGGCTTCTTGGCTGCGCTTGTCTAGTATGAAGGAGTTGGAGGGAGGTTTTGGTCGTGCTGGACAAAGGCGGGACATTTTCTTGACCTATTAAAAGAATACCAAGTCATAAGATATAATCAAGATATAAAACACTCAGTGACAGACTAATGCTACTACGTTTATATCAGTTTATGTAAAAATAAAGTGGCCACTTGTGTTTCATATACTGCGATATAAAAATATAGAGAACTACTGTACAAATTGGTGAATAAGATAATGGACCCTTATGCAAAAATTAAAACCCCCCTCCCYTACCTATTTAATATTGTCTCACCTAATAAATGGTAGCTTCTGACTGATTGACCATGCAACATTGCAAGGGGAAGGGGTTGGGAAAAAAAGCTGTCTCTATGATTTCATTTAGTGGTAGTTCAGGCAGTAAATATATGACTACTAGCAAACTAAGCCTTACTTTTTCCATTGCACTAATTATTTAATAATAATAATAATGGAAACTTTATTCTTTTTCTTAAATACAGTTGTAAATCTCTCTAAGTATAGGCAATTAACAACTGGCTACTCGAAATTGATTTATATATAAATGATATATATATATATATATGTATATATATTAAAAAAATATATTAAAATTTCATTAAGTCTGGGCTTTCCCAAATCTTATTTTTACAACAAAATATGTAATACGTGGCTCTAATGGCAAGATTCATTATTTTTTTGATTATATAGTGTTGTTGTTTTTTGTCGACTCCAATGTCATTCATCATGTCTAAAAACGTAGAACATTCATCGGACAGGACGCCAAGAGATCTCATCAAGAGGTTTACAAATTTAACGCGAATTTACTGGTCAAATCTTTATCAAATTCTTGTATTTTTCTCTTTTATAGATTGCATTGTTATTAAGGTTAGACTCAAACCCAACTGTTAATTCCAGAACATAAAGGCACTTGGACTGTATTAGGAGAAGGAGATCTGGATGAAAAGTGTCACCAGTAATAATTGAAGGACTTAAAAAACCATTTACATCAGCATAGAGTTAAGAGGGATGATTAATTACAGGTTTGAGCGAGTTGGCAATGAAGTTAAGAATTGAGTCATATCTCCATGTAAAGCGTTCGAGGTAATGGTGACAACCAGGAACAACATGGAGGAGTGTCTCAGGATTAATGCAAAAGGAGCAATCAGGACTTTGTGATA